TAGTGCTGGGGAACGGGATGCACCGAGCTCAACACGCCTCTAGTGCGGGTACGGGAAGCACCGAGCTCAACACGCCTCTAGTGCGGGGGACGGGATGCACCGAGCTCAACACGCCTCTAGTGCTGGGGAACGGGAAGCACCGAGCTCAACACGCCTCTAGTGCTGGGGGACAGGATGCACCGAGCTCAACACGCCTCTAGTGCGGGTACGGGAAGCACCGAGCTCAACACGCCTCTAGTGCTGGGGGACAGGAAGCACCGAGCTCAACACGCCTCTAGTGCTGGGGAACGGGAAGCACCGAGCTCAACACGCCTCTAGTGCTGGGGGACAGGATGCACCGAGCTCAACACGCCTCTAGTGTGGGGATGGGATGCACCGAGCTCAACACGCCTCTAGTGCTGGGGAACGGGAAGCACCGAGCTCAACACGCCTCTAGTGCTGGGGGACAGGATGCACCGAGCTCAACACGCCTCTAGTGCGGGGATGGGATGCACCGAGCTCAACACGCCTCTAGTGCGGGGAAGGGACCCACCGGTGGCGCCTACCGGCGGGGGCGGGCCCGGAGGCCCAACTCACGAAGTCCCCTAAGGATGCTCCTTATATAGGGCCAGAAAGTGCTTGGAGGGTGGGGGGAAGTACCCAGTACCGGCCCCCGGCGAAAGTACTGGGCCTTTTCCCTCAGCACTTTCCCTCAGTCCTTTTCCCTCATGTCACCGAGTACCTTTCCTGGTGTTTACCTCAGGTCTTCTGAAACACTTCATTACAAGTTGAAGCTTTTTGTACGTTGGGAAAAATAGCATCCATTCGTATTCTTAACTTCCTGTGGAGGTAAAGTTCAGCCGGTGATTTGCCACATGCTAGAGGAGTTGCCCGGTACCGCATTAAGATCTTCTGGACCTTTATTGCCATTGGTATGTTTTCCGAAGCTGTGGACTTCAGGCGGTTCTTCAATGTTTGAACAGAGCGTTCTGCTAAGCCGTTTGTTGCTGGATGTCCTGGAGATATGAATTTCTGGAAAATGCCGTGCAATTTGCAATAAGCTTGGAATGTATAACTTTGAAAAATTGAGGCGTTGTCAGATACCATAACATTCGGGTAGCCGTGTGTTGCAAAAATCTGTTCAAGCAGATTTATGGTAGCCTATTGGAGCTGGATGGTGCATCTTTGATTACTTTTATCTCCGCCCATTTTGATCTAGCATCAATACACACGAGGAAGTTGAAGCCTTGAAACGGTCCTGCGTAGTCAATGTGTATTCTTTCCCAGTTCTCTTTTGGGATTTCCCACGGGTGATTGGGAGCTTTGGGCGGATTTGACCGTGTTAGTGCACAATTTTCACATCCTTTCACAAGATGCTCAATGTCCTTGTCAATATTTGGCCAGTAAACATAGCGCCGTGCTAGCTGTTTCATTTTTGTGATTCCAAGATGACTTTCGTAAAGTTCATTTAGAATCTTGTTTCTAAGTAGTGATGGAATGTAAACTCTTTCTCCCCGGAAAATAATGTTTTCGACCAACGTAAAATCAGAATCAGTTGAATTGGTGAGTAGGTCTTTCAAAATCTTAGAGAGCACTGGATCTTTGGCTGTCTCGTTCTTAATGATTTCAGCTGTGATTTCATGGCTTGAAATTTGAAAAATAACTTGGCTGCAGATTTGGTGTACCTCTTTTCCGATTTTCTTGTCTTTAGTAGAGTGAGTCTGTGTAAGAGGAGCTCTTGAAAGACAATCCACGTTTTTATTTTCCATGCCCTTTTTGAACACCAACTTGTAATTGAAACCTGACAGATATGATGCATATCTGAGTAAACGAGCTGAAGTCATTTGTGGTAGAGCCTTGTTATGTCTGAAGATCCTAGATATTGGCTGATTATCTGTTACAAGTTGAAATTGAGTCCCGAATAGGTAATAATAGAAGTGGGAGACACCAAAAACTATGGCTAATGCTTCCCGGTCTAGTTGACTATAGTTACATTCGGCATCAGTGAGTGAACGTGAGGCGTAAGCAATTGGCCTCTCAGTACCATCTATTAAGTGGCTAAGAACTGCAGCTAGTCCAGTAGGTGAAGCGTCTGTGGTGAGGACTAACGGTAGTTTTGGATCGAAAGGTACGAGTATCCTGTTACTGCAGAGCTCAGTTTTGATTCGTTGAAAAGCCTTTTCACATTCTGGTGTCCATTCCCATTTCTTATTTTTGCGTAACAAACGTCGCAAAGGAAAAGTGACAGTTGAAGCATCTGGAAAGAAACGAGAGTAGTAAGAAACCATTCCTAAGAATCGTCGTAATTCTTCAACTTTTGATGGACGTGACATTTCTTTAACAGCTTGAACTTTGGTAGGAGATTTCTTTATTTTGTTTAACTCCACCACTCGTCCTAGATATTCTATTTGTTCTTGAAAAAATGAACACTTCTGTTTGTTTATGTGTAAGTCAAAATCTGAGAGTCGTTGAAGACAGGCCTGTAGATTTCTTTTGCACTCATCCATTGTTGAGCCATGGCAAATTATGTCATCAAAGTAGGCCTCGGTTTTAGGCAACCCCTTCAAAATTTGTGTAAGAATTCGGTTGAATTCAGAAGGTGCTGTCTTTATTCCGAAACTTAGACGATTGACACGATATGTTCCACGGTGTGTTGACATTGTCTGGATAATACTGGACTCTTCGTCGACCTTGAGGTGCAGATAAGCTTTGTACAGATCAAGTTTACAAAAGTAACGAGATCCTCTCAAACTATCGAGTACATCGTCAATTTTTCGAATAGGATGGTTTGCCTGGACTATTCGTTCATTCACACCACACTTGTAGTCGACACAGAGACGAACACTTCCATCTGCCTTAGGTATCACGACTAGTGGTGACCCCCAATCACTTGACGTAACAGGCGAAATGATTCCTTCATTTTCAAGTAAATCTAGTTCCTTGTTGACCTGATCAATAAGAGCATGAGGTACGTTCCGTTCACGATTGAAAATAGGCTTTGCTCCTGATCGAAGATGTAATGATACTGTAAAGTTTGGAACGCATCCAATTTTTGGCTCGAAAATTGGCACAAATTTTTCAAACAGTTCCTCAACTGAATTTACTGGTTGTAATTGAAGGGTAGTAGCTGGTCGGTTCATTTCAGCGTCAATTTCACACAGTTCAATACCCAGTCCTCGGATCCATTGGCGCCCTAGAAGTGCATCATGACCTGAAGGGACGATGTGAAGGTCACCTTTGAACTGTTTACCCTTGTATGATACAGAAACTGATACCTTTCCCTCTAGTTTGATTATGTCTCCAGAGTAAGAACGGAAAGCTAGCCTTGATGGTTCTACAGGTACGTTCAGATGTAGACGTTCAAAGTCATTCTTCGCAAGGAGAGAAAATTTAGCCCCACTGTCAACTTCAAAACATTGCAATTTTCCATTTATAGTGACAGAAACAATGTACTTGTCTGAATCATATCCAACTTCAAATAAATCTACGACATCAAAGTTCTGGTAGATCGAATCAATTTTGTGCACTCCGTAATCAGAAGAGTCGTCACTAGAATAATCGTCATCATTTGATCCTGAATGTAGGTTGTTGGTTGAATTTAACTTTGATGTTGATTTCTTAGTCCTTGACATCAGTGTAGTTATGCAGACCGCAGAGACATGTCCTCGTTTTAAACACTCCCCACATTGGAGTTTATACTTGTGTCTGTTACAATTTGCAGCAATGTGTTTGTTACTTCCACATCTAAGACAGAGGCCTTCTATTCCGAGGGCATTGAAGTCAGGTCTTTTGTTATTTGAACGTTGTTTCCAGTTGAGAGATGTCTTGTTGGATGAACGATTGTTAGAGAACTGGTGGGATCGTCTGGAAGACCTTGTAATTTTGTGCACTCCAGCCGAATCCATATTAAAGTTGTTAGAACATGCATGTTGGTGAAATTCTTTGCTTTCAACCTTTGATGCTTCAAGAGCAATAGCTTTCTCTAGAATGTCATCAAACTTTGTGTAAACGGATTGTAAAAGGTGTTCCCTAAGCCAATTGTCCTTCAATCCTCGTATGAACTGTGCCCGCAAGAAAACATCAGCAATTGACACAGATATTCCACATTCATCGTTGGAGCATTCTACTGCAAATTCACATTCTTGAAGATCACGTCTGAGGTCGGCCACAAACTCTGAAATTGACTGGTTTTCTTTTTGAAAGATATTTAAGAAATAATGTTGAGCAACAACAACACTTTTCTTTGGAGTCAATAGTTTCTTGAAGTCATTCAATAGAGTTTCATAATCTAATGATTTGAGTGGCTTGTCTGGGCCCAAAAATGCAGATAGGTTGTTATAATGTTCACTACCTATAGAATTACACAAGAGCTGAGCAATTTTCTTCTTATCAGTCAAACCTTTCATTGTATAATAGTTTTCAAAACGTTCTAAATAGCTGGTACCTAAACTTTTCTTGTTTGGCATTGAAGTTTTCGAATGTAGCAACATTTGACATTGTAGATTGACAGCTTTCTTCTCTGGGTTTTCCAATTGATGTAACAATTGTTTGAATTTGAGCTTGAAACATGTTTGACATCTCACGTACAAGTGCTTTTTGTTGTTCATTGAATGTGTTTAGAAGTAAGGTAAACTGTTGTGCATCCATTATAGTTTGAACTGTATAAAATATTAATGTATCTTGAAACTAGAAATTGAATGTAATTTTTAAAAGTAAATGTGTTGAATTTTTCAGTGGCTAGTTGATTTTCACACTCGTCGCCAATTAAAATGACTCTTATTAATTACAAAATAATTAATAAATGCACGCATATTAACTCAACACAAAATCTATTTCATGAATGTTTACAAAACAAAAACAATAGAAAAACATATGATAGTAAAAATATGTATAAATGAATTATAAACAGTCTTAGAGAAGACATAACAGACTGTATACAGAATTTAGAGTAAAATTCAAGATTAAATTGCATTGATGTGGAAATCATCTTCTGATGTACCGGTACTTATACATTTCCTCAGACCCTGGCCAACTCCAAGGTTGATGACAAGACTGTGCCCAAGAGTCACAGGATCGATGCTGTCTTCTCACTGTTCAGAATCTCCTTTTTCCACGGATGTAACATTAAGGGAATGAGCACAGCGATTGAAAAGGCTACTGAACTAATTGAAGGTAAGGGTGTAGAATGCATCTCTTAAGTAAATTTAATTAAATCACACAAGAAGGCTATAAAAAGTGAGGGAGGAAAATATACTTATTGTTCAGTACATGGAAAACATTAAAATTGGCCAAAAAGACAGAAATTTACATTAACCTGATTACCTACAGAATATGTGTAAAACAGAATTCATAACACAGGAGAGAATTTTAAATCCTACATAGGCCACTGTCCCATTTCTTGATTGATGTAGTTAGCGATTGTCATTAGGCCTACTGTATGTATAAAGTTATAACATGACAAAATGTTATAAATTATAAATGATATGATAGGCTATTTGGAAAGCTAAAGCTTATATTTCAAATAGGCTGCAGTACACACACTGTAATCATTCTACATTTTTGACAAGTGAGCCATTAACAATATATCTTATGCATTTTTAACATTGCTCCTCATCGTCTTTTACAAAGGCCTACATTAAAAAAAAATCATATAGGCCTACATACCTTACTCTTCCAGTCATCCAACATTTTAATTTGAATAACAGTAAAATGCAGCCACACAGGGGGAGTGAGCTGGTCTAGTAGTAGGGCAGGGACTTGGGTCTCTGAGGTCCTGGGTTCGAATCCCGCCAATCACCAATAGATTTGATCTAAGTGATAATGCCACTACTACCTTTAGTCCTAGCCTGAAGTAATTTGGACAATTCTAGGCTAGAACCTATAGGGAAAAAATGCAGCACACATCATAAACCTATATTTCAACTTTCTCATTCCGTTCGCCTAACAAACCGCAACTTGTGACCAAGGTGTCCGTTGTTTAAATCCTTTTAACAGTTTCCATTAATTTGTTGTTATTTTACCAAGGTATCAGCGGTGGGGACTGGAGTGCTCGTAATAAGCTGAAGGCCTACGAGGGTGTTTGGAGTTTGGCCATCAGAGACTTCACCCGGGCTGCTCATCTGTTCGTCGACGTAGTTCCCACATTTGAGTCGTACGAGCTGGCTGACTTTGGTACCATTATCCGCTACACCGTGCTGTCTTGTATGATCGCTCTGCCCCGGTGTGACCTGAGGAAGAAGCTAATGCTGCACGGAGTTATGGCGCAAGCTCTTCATTCTCAGTATCAGGTATTTGATTTTTGTGGCACTATTTCTTATTTTTGTGGGAAATTATTGATGAACTGTACCAAACAAGGTATAGGCTAGTGGTAGTGTCTTTGGCTGAATAAGTTGGACATTGCTGATTTAAGCTGAGCTGCCTACACTATCATAACACTGCGGCCACTATTGCCAATTTGATTTATAGTACAACACTGTCTATAGATCAGTGCAAGGATATACAGGGTGTATCTAAACTCTCTGGAACGCTTTTGTATATTTGTTCCTTAAGTCGAAACAATGAAAAAAACATATAAAAAAATGGATCTAAAATGCCTCGTTTTCTATCTGTTTGTGATTTTGACAAATGTATCCATAACTTTAAACCTGCTAAGCAATTGACTTCAAGCCTAGTGCATAAGTAAAGACAAAGTACAAAGTATCAGATTTCTAAGTTCTACCAAGCACTATGTTTGATTCGTCTATCCAGGATCTAAGGGAGTATTTCGTGTCGCTGTACGACGGTCGCTACTCAGACTTCCTCGTTTGCTTGGCTCGTATTGAGGTTGAGATGAAGAGGGATCCGTTGCTGCATCCCCACTACCGTCACTACGTCCAGGAGATGAGGCTGCGAGCCTACAAACAGATATTACAGGCTTACCGCTCTCTCAGGTAACTGATTTTAGGAGCTTGTCAAATAAAATAAAAATTGATCATGCCATGATGAATGTAATCATGGTCAGTTATATAACCTACAGGAATACCGTTCATTCACTTATAAAGTACGCTAAGTATGACTATTACAGGGACCAAATTGAACAGGCTAATGGTGACGCAAAACGTTTTTGGGGAGTTGTGAACGAGGCTGCCGGCCACTCAGATAGAAAACAACTTTTCCCTGTGCAGTAGTTTGCCGATTCCAACGACGTTGTCACTCCCGACCATGTCAAATCTATTTCCAATTTATTCAGCAACTATTTTGCATCGGTTGGAGTAGAGCTCGCTACAGCTTTACACCCTGATGGCCCTCCTCCAATGTTGGTGGAGGCCGATTCCAGCCAGGAGTCTGTCTTCCGATTCTAGCCGGTCACCAGGGAACAGATTACTGAGGTCGTCAGGAGTATTAGAGGAGGTTCTGCACCAGGCCTTGACAATATTTCAGCAAAATTTGTAAAGAAATCTCTTACCTGTACTATTGAACCACTTTACTATGTTATCAATAGTAGTTTAAAAACTGGAGAGTTTCTGAATATCTTACAAATGGCTAAAGTCATTCCCTTATATAAATCTGATAAATCTAACTATAGACCTATTTCCCTTCTAACGGTGTTTTCCAAAATATTTGAGAAATGTGTGAAAATCCAATTGTCAAATTACTTAAATCAAGAAAAAGGAGGATAGCAGCTAGCTCAAAATCCTGGCCTAGAGCCTTTCCTTGAACAAAATTAAATCAAGGAAATATAGTTTGCAGTTTACAGTACGGTTTTTGTAATGACAGAAATACTTCAGACGCTCTATTCGATCTTACAAAGTTTATCTTTGAATCATTCAGTGAAAACAAAAAAATTCTTATAACTTTTTTGGATCTTACCATAGCCTTTGATTCAATTGACAGAAACATGCTAATAAGTAAATTAGAATGTATAGGTATCGAAGGGCCAACTGTAAGATGGTTTGCGAACTATTTTAAGTCTCGGGAACAAGTAGTTTCCATAAATGGAGTTGTGAGTGATGTAACACCGGTAGAATATGGTGTGGTTCAAGGCAGTACTCTCGGACCTCTATTATTTTACATTAATTACATATCTAAAGTTAAATTAAATAGCAAGGTGATACTGTTCGCTGACACGGCGGTTGTGACCACTGGCAGTGTGGGACGAGGGCAGGGAGCAATCAGAAGGATTACTCAAATCGTTGTACTCATAATTTTGTGCAGTTTCATGCATCACCAAATCACTTATTATTACTTTAAAAAAACAAATAATTTAGTATATTGAAGCGTTATTGTGCGCCTAATGGTTACGGAGAAAATTCCAAAAAATTTTAAATTTTAAATTCCCATGTTATTCTTGTGGAGAAAATGAAAACTGTTGTAGTTTGCTTGTTTATGAACATATTTTGATCGAATTTGGAAAATACATTAATTTCTTATTAAACTATTAACATTTTACAACAAAAAAACACTTTTACCCTCCCTGTTTTTAAGGAGACATTTTAGTGTAAATCCAATCAGGCAAATAGAAATTCGCTTAGTCTGCAGGTTTGCTGCGGCGGGGGTATTTACTACTACGGTTGAACTTTAAGAATTTAGTCTGAACCAGTTAAGCCTATGGAGAAGTGTTTTTACTGAAATCTAAACTGTAATCTCTGTCCATTTCCAGTCTGGACTACATGGCCCAGTCGTTCGGTGTGACCAGTGAGTTTATTGAGCGGGAGGTGGCCAGGTTTGCGGCCGCTGGGAGACTTCAGTGCAAGATAGACTCAGTGGCTGGGACAGTGATCACGAGTGCTCATCTGGACGACTCCGTCCGCAGCAAGGAAGCTCCTGAGGCTAGCCTGGACAGGAACATTCTCTACCAGACAACCGTCAAGCGAGGAGACATTCTCCTCAACCGACTCAAGAAACTGGCCAGAGTCATGGACTTCTAGAACAGTCGTGTCGCTTTAATTTATATTCATCAATAAACTTCTTTTTGTTATAAATGCTAACTAAAAATGTGTTTCTTATTTCTTTGCCGTCGAGGTATTGGGTGGACATCTTGAAAACGTTAATTCCATTTGTCATAAAATAATTTCCAAACATTTCACCTGTTGTCCAGGGAGATATGCTTGTTTACTGTGAGGAGTAAATCATTTAAAGGTCTCTCATTTCCAGTTGAGGAGGTTCAAATTGAACTAGTCAGAATTTGTGAGTAAAAGTCAGGATGTTTAGCTAGCCAACCCTTAGTTGGCTGATGATGACAGTATGTAATTATATCACCCTTGGTATCTTGCAATTACCATAGAACATACACTGTCTATCAAGAACTAAAAAATGTCTCTTTAGACAACAATTCTGGGAAATAAGAACCAGGGTTTACTGTAGTGCAGTATCTTACTGGTTCGTCTTGTGGAGCTGTTCTCCACTACAATTATTAATTTTAGCAAACGACATGTAACAAGTAACAACACAATTACAATCATCCCATAGAATTATAACAATACAATTATGAATGATCCCATCCTGTATTATAGCTCCACCATCGTAAAGAAGAAGTATTATGGTATTACGTCTAAGTAATTGGTCCTACATTATTTGCAAGCACATGCGTTATTGGTTGGTGTTCTGCCACCTTTAGTTTACAGTAGAAACCCTAATATTCGGCCATGACGGGACCGGGCCATGGTCGGAACGGCCAAAAAAAGATATGTTTCTAGCAAAGAATTTTGAAATTTTTTTGGAAGTTATTTGTTTACAGTCAATAGCTCGAATAAGCCAACTGGGATTGTGGGAGGTTTATTTTTGCCAGCTCTGTATAGAAATTTCAACAAGGGATGAGGAAGAAATTTAATTTATATTATATGTATTACTGAGTTACTAACTGAGATCTAGAGAAAGAAAAAAGTACTTTTCATAATTAAGAGAAAGAAAAAAGTACTTTTCATAACTAAGTACGAAAAATAGCTATTTTGGATGACAGATGATCAAAGAGAATAGTATATTTCATTACTAGGACCAAAAGTGGCATTTTCCGGCGCGCGCTCAAGTTTTTGTGTGAGGCGAAGCCGAACACAGGGAACTCCAATTTCACGTGAGAGGCGAAGCCGAGTGCGTGAGAGCTATTTTAACGTACGAGGCGAAGCCGAGGACGGGAATAATGGAGCAAGTGCCGGGTAATAACTTTCGGTACGAGTTATGAACGATACTTTTCATCACGACGCAAAAATACACAAACACAGATAAGCAGACCTCAGTAATATTACAATAATTATTTATCAAACCATTTGTTTAAACATAAAAATAAAATAAAATCTTTTAAAAGTAAACCTAAGTATATTTTCGTTTAATTTTTTGAATATAAAAATAAAATAAAATATTCTAAAGGAAACCTTCACATATTTCTCAATGTTTCAAACATCAAAATAAAAATATAAAACAACTTTGAACAATACATACAGCTGATTCAAATCATTAAATAAAACCGTAACAAAACACTAGCGCTCGTAGTGAATAAATGGAGAACTAATTGAGAGCGAGGGAAAGTAAATTTGGAGCGAGGGAAAATCAGCTGATCGATTTTCCCTCGCCCTAAATTAGAGCTTGGGAAACAACTACTTTCATAGATGTCAGCTGTTATCGAAAATAGTTACTTTCGGTGAGGAGTGATGAAATAATGTTTACCTACGACCGTTTTTTAAAGTAGCCATTTCAGTCCAGTTCTTAGAATTGAAAAGTTTCACTTTACAGCTGTTTACTTTCATATCCGCATAGTTTCATTTCATATCCGCATAGTTTTCTCATATCCACACAGGTAACGGACCAATGAGGTTCAAGTATTGAGAGAAAAGAATAAAAAATTGTAATGCTTCGAACGTCAACTAATCAGCTGATCAGCTGATCAGTTGACCAATTTAATTGTTGATCCGACTTGTTCATGTTGATACTCGCGTATTCTTAATTAAGTTGGTGGAAGTCCAAAAATAAATGAAATATTTGCCGAATTGTACCTGATACAATATTATTTATGGTAAGAATGCTGCTAGCAATGTAATATTTAACGAAGTTTAACAAGCACGTAATTATAGGAAATCAGCTGATTATACAACAAGTCGTTGCATCACTTTCAGTGGCAATGACAATACACGAAAACATAACCTCTCTAAAAAGTTATCATTAGTGATTGTTAGTAATTAAATCCAGATTGATAGTAATTAAAAAACGGTCGTAGGTAAAGTAGTGTACGCAACTCGCGTTAATAGTCTTTACGACACTCGTAGAAGTTTTTAAGGCACGAGCCTTGGCGAGTGCCTTAAATTTTCTACTCGTGTCGTAAAGACTCACTTAACGCAATCGTTGCGTAAACTACTATTCCCAAGCTCTAATTTATAAGGGAAAACTATAAGCTGATTTTTCCTTGCTCTAAATTTATATTCCCTTGCTCTTATCAGTCAGTAACAACTCCTTTTGTCCACTACACTTACTGGTATTTCCTACATTGACATTCAAATGGCAACCATACGAAAGTAGATATTTTAGGCCAAGTACCGGTATGAATAGTCTCTAAATAATACTTTTGCACTAGGGATCTTGGAAGAAATTCAACATTTAGAGAATATAATTGACCTATCAGGTCCATTTCTTGGTTAATAAACAACTCAAGACAAAGTCCCAATCAGCATTAAATAGAAAGTGGTTATTTCTTCATATCATTTGTCTCCTATCAGAGTTCAACATCATTCCCACAGGTCAAATCCGAAAATGCTGCGTTCCAAATTTTAGTTTAAAAATACAAAACACTTAACATGTAAAACAGCTAGGCCAGTTCGTAAAAACAAGTTGGCAACATTGGGTGCAAATATTCATATATCAATTCATTAATTGTTGCACTGCTATTGTTGGCAGACATTTTTAAACACGATGACAACGTGCTATTTTCTGACTGTTGATAATTAGATCCCTGTAAATCTGGTAAGTAAAAGAGTTATTTTTGTTTTAGTCAAATGGATACAAATCACGTTGGACATGGATTTGCTTGAAATAGGCATAAGAGTGTCCCGTTAAACCTACTCTTATATACTACCTATACTTGTAAAAGTGTTTATAGTGATACACACACACATCCAAACCTATGACATTTTGGCGAACAGAGCCAAAAAATTAACCTAAAACATGATATAGTTGTCCCACCATCACATCCTAGAACGCTATAATAAGCTCAAGCACAAGATTGTTTTTCATATTACTTGAGGGTAGGACTAAAGTAGTGGCATTATAACTTTGATTAAATCTATTGGTAATTGGCGGGATTTGAACCCAGGACCTCGAGGACTAAAGTCAACCAAACAAGCTCGCTCAACGTAGGCATGGATCCAGTAAGCATAAAAACAATCCGAGCGTAAGTATAAACTCTCTTATCCTCTTGATGCGTGAGGTTAGCAAAATGAAAACAAATTTAATACTATCAGACAAATATTTTTCATCAATCCGTATAGTACTGAAAGTAGCTATTTTTTAACCAAAAAAAGTTATTGTTTCCCAAGCTCAATTTTGAGCATGGTATACGATCAGCTGATTTCCCTTAAATTTACTTTTTCTTGCTCTCACTCAGTTCTCCTCTCCAAGTCACTTCGCGGGTAGTGTTTGTTTACGATTTATTTATATTATTGATCAGCTGTTTTGCTGTTTAACAATACAAATGTGAACAGAAAAACGTACAAGCCAGTTTGCTGTATTCTTTAGCTTGTAGTGCATGTTTTATACAAAACAAACATAACCTTGGACATGAACGTGTGACTTTTACGTTGTTATGCAGGTATTTTATTTGTATAATAAAATAATGTTATTATTAGAAAATATAATACCGTAGTTTCTATTATACTGAAGTATGTTATTCTGTAAAGGAGTATTTTTCGTTGTGATGAATAGTATAGTTTATAACTTAGTCTACAGAAAGTGATTTCCCAGCACTTGCTCCAATTAGTCCAATATTCGGGTTGTACGTGAAAATGACCCTCACACGCTCGGCTTCGCCTCGCTCGTGGAATTTTGTGTTGAGCGCACACCGAAAACTGCCACTTTCTGTACCAGTAATGGCAGGGAGGTAAATGCAGGGATTCGGTAATGGCAGTAATATTTAGGCTTACTACTGCAGTCGTAAAGCTCTTATGAAAGTGCCGCAGGCGATCAAACATTTCTTTCAAGTGGAAAAGTGTCAATTTTGGCGCTTTAGTTACATAAAAATACAAAACAGCAGCAACAAGTGACGGTATAACTTGTAGATGAAATTATCCGTATAACTATTGATGCTAAATGATGTGCATCAAGACACAAGTCCTAGGGAACTGCCAATTGGCTTTGGTCCAGTGAATACACCCAATGTTGTGAAACTGTAATATAAAACTACACAACTCGTTTGTAGTCTTACACGGGCACTCGCACTCTCGTAATATGACAATTAATATGACTGGTAGTTCGGTGCCAATGAATACATAGTCTTTATGTTCATTGCTTGCGCCGAATGTTAAAGTAACGGCGGCGTCCTTAAAACCGCCAACTGAAGATACACACTGTGAGGTTATGGTGGATTTCGCCATTATGAAGCTAAAATTAATAAGCTATTCTATTATCCTATACAAAGTAAAGTTTCAACTACGAACTGTCTATAACGATCGAACGAAGAACGTACCTAGGTATTTAACTACAGCTGTTTCATCTTGCAAACACTTCATAAGTTTAAGAACGTTTACATAAATATACAGTGTATCTAACTTTTGAGTTCGAGTTCATCATGGTGCCATACAACACGAACTTGAATGACACGGAGCATTGGAATAAACTACTGGTTGACCACGCGAAGGGAAAAGATGCAAATAAAGGTAAGCTGCGAACCAACCAGTTATCTTGGTTGTACCTTCAAAGAGGTGCGTAACTTGGGAAAATATAGACCCTACTTACAGGGGGATATGATTGTTTGTAGGCCCTACCTATAAATGAAGGATTGATAACAAAGTGGTCAAAATACAATTAATTTTTATACATTCGAGAGAAATATGATTCTCCAAGTACAAGTTAAGCTATGCCACACTCCCAGAAATATATAAGAGTAGACTACCGTACTGGAGAATCACAGAAACTGTCACATACGTTCTCCCTCTAAGGCTATAACCCATATAAATTATCATTTCTACATCTATTTGCAAAACGAGTATATGTTGTATTTACCTTCGTAATTAAAACTAATCTAAATATTGATACAAGCGAACATTTATTCGAAATATCGATTTAAACAGTAGGTGCGTATGAAGTGCGATGTTTCATATTTGTAACAATATCTTGTAAGGAGCACACCACATTTTTGTAATGCATTTTTGGGACTAGGATTTGTCTTATCAAAGTCTTCTAGTGGTTAGGTTAGGGTTTATTGGAACAATGCCTTGTCGGAGCAATTTTTGTCAAATAAATGCTATTTTGGAATCAGTGGTTGTCGGAGCAATTCGTTTTAGGCTTAGGTTTTGCTGAAGAACTGCATTGTTGGGTTTTGGTTTGTCGGAGTACTGCCATGTCAGGGGTAGGATTTGTAGGAGCACTGTCTTGTCAGGGGTAGGATTTGTAGGAGTATTGTCTTGTCAGGGTCAGAGTTTGTCGGAGTACTGTCTTGTCAGGCTTATAGTTTGTCCGAGACTACCTCGCCAGGGTCAGAGTTTGTCGGAGTACTGTCTTGTCAGGGTTAGGATTTGTCGGAGTACTGTCTTGTCAGGGTTAGGGTTTGTCGGAATTGTCAGAGTTAGGGTTTGTAATAGTTACGCCGGCCACGTGACGTCGCAGGACAGCCGGCAGTACACAGCTGTACCTAGACTAGTTGTATTAGTAGTGGGCCTCAGCTGTGCTATGGATGCCAGGAGATGCTTCTTCAGCGAACTACTCCCGCTGCACGAGTGAGTGATTTAGTTTGATTATTTATTTTACAACTTATTTAAATTAGGTGTGAAACTAATTGTGTTCACATAATTTTAAATAATTCCTATGAATTTAGTTAGATTTGCACCTTTGAAATTAATAAACCTGCAAAGTAAGTTTAAAATTTCGTAAAATAATATGGATCTGAAAAAAGTAATATCCCGTTTTCTAGAATTCTTGTACAATTGAAATAAATTTCATTCTTATAGTTACGCTACAGAAGTTTTCCCTACAGGGCGTCGATCTATTTGTGTAAACATCAGATTAATTAGTTTTTGTAACTGAGTAGTTTTACAATGAAGCTGATGACTTTTAATTATTCGATATGCAAATGTACTGAATACGTTTTTAATACAACATTTATTTGTAAACCAGTTTGACTTGCTAAACTGCATTCACAATACACAGTAAGTTTACTCTAGATGTTTTTTACTGTAGAGAATACAATAAATTATTAAGTATAAACTTAAAACAATACGTCTATGTGACATTGCATAAGTTATTCTTAAGATTACAACAATGGGTCGTTTTCAACGCTCCTAACTCCTAAAAATATATTTTTCGACAAAACCACTGATTTGTAGTCTTTCATTCTCATTGGCAACTTACAATTCCACTAAAGCTAGAAAGAAATTTATTGTTTTCAAATATTGGAGAAGTATTAATAACTTGGTACCAAATGGCATTTTCAGTGATTATTTGAACACTTTTGATAAGTTAACATCACAATGCTTATAGCATACAGTACAAGGTTTAAGTAAAATCAATGTAATATAATAACCTCAGTTAAATGTAAAGATTTGAATTATTAGTTAACACAGAGACTCCTGTGCAAGTATTTTATATTTCTAATTTCCTAAAGACCAATAGGCCCTTTCAACATTCTGATATAAAGAGTTTTAAAATCATTTTAAATCCAAGCGAAGGCTTTATCAGCGCTATTTTGGCTGCATAGCTGTAAAGAATATAAATCAGAAAGGCACACAAATCCTAAATCTTCTAATCATAGTAAAAATACATCTTGAGATTAGCTAAGGAGGTAGTAAATCTTTCTTCCCTATGAACGCTAACTTAAATGTTCATGTTACACCGAAGTAAGATATTTTTTCGAGATTTACGTCATAAATAATCATGCACTGAAGTGAAATGTACGAAAAACTCGATCCAACCGAAAACGATTTTCATTAACTACATTTAACATTATTGTAAAACGTCATTTTTACGAGCATGATCTCTCATTTTACAATATTTGCAGATGTAATGGGAAGGTTGTTGGCAAATAATTTATTTGTGTTTCTATTTTATATCCTGGGTCTTAATCTTTCACGTTAGCCAAATGCTCTGCACCTCTGCACGTGTTGTTGTGTGAGGTTAGTAAACCAACGAAGAAACATCTGCTAACTATACCCCTGTAGTCCGATTGTATTTGGTTGTTGAAATGTGCGATTTCGCAACTTAGTCACACGTGTTTTCAATGAATTTGGCGCCTCTGGTAGCAATTAAATGTGTCAGAGTGTTTTAAATATCAGATAGACAAGGCAGTTCGGATCGCTGGAGAGGTATTGCCAATCATGTTTACCATAGTTAACAAAACATAGTGTTGTAAAATAAAGATTTCTTATGCAGACGACACGATTCCACAGTTTGTATGTTGTGACCAATTCCCGAAGTCTGTCATAAGAATGCTGTCGTTATTTTTAAGTTTGAAACTAAAAAAGTCAAAAGTTTACATTGATCGGCAGTATGTGAGCACTTTTAAAACATTGCAGGATACAATTTGATATTTGTTCGCTAGTTTCGATTTGTCATTATCGATCTAAATGTTTTTTCACATTATAGTGCTACCAAAATAATCTCTATTAACACAAACCCATCATAGACCAATCTATCTGCGTTTAAATGAACAGCTGAGCACAGTTGAAAGAGACATCAACATTGAACATGTCAACGCACTAACATCGTGGCTGTAGAGTTAAATTGTCATCTTAAATACGAGTAGCATACAGATGTCGAATTACAAACCTAATTTGACTTCCTGTGAACATTGTTCAGAAAATTACGAGTCTTTACAATTAATTGGTCTTAAACTTTCATAGCTGGGAAGATGAGTTGGAGCGCTCGCCTTACAATTTAAAGCTACCGGTTTGATCCTGAGAAGAGAGTAGTTTTTAATGGTTTAAAACTTGACCCAGCTGTCATTATTTATTGGGCTATTGGTCCTGACTAATGAAACAGCTGATTTTAGTAACAAAGCTACATTATCTTTCTCCATTCTACACTTATCCTTCACTCACCCTTTGGTTTAAGTGCACCAAGCTGCGACCCCATATAAAATAATCACTCATCTTGATCTCATGTCCAGCTTCAAATTATGGCATTTTCTGAGAAAATCTAATAGCCTCTTATGTCAACCATTCAGTAGTACAACTATGACAAAACGTCATCTATAGCCGCTGGTCACAGATGATTGTAGCCATGACCTTGGCTCGCCCTTGGAAACACGAGCCTTATGACAACACCTTCAGAGAACCTGTCATTAAATAATAAACTTCAACTGGAGTATCCGTTCTAGTGCGGTAGTCGCGCGCCCCTTCGGGTCCTAAATCAGCTGGTTGGTTAGTAAACGGTTTACGACCTGCGAATTAGTCTAAGAATAGAAAGTGAAGTGCAATTCTGGACAAGCGCGTGGGAGAGGAAGAGTTTAATGATAAAGATCGATTTTGCAATTTGTAGATTAATTTATGAAGTATCATCGTGATCTCGATGTAAATTTGGTTTTGTGTGTCTCTCTGCGGCATTTGCATTTTTTTACGTTTTTGCAAGTCAATGGTGCAAACACTGGTATTGATACCATAAAACGTAGACCTGTAAGATAGCATCATTCATTTATGACTCAGTGACAAAAGGCATCTGGGTTTAGGATTGACCCCGAGAGGATTGAATTTGCAAACCTAATGTTACTCTATATTAATATAGTTTAGGATAACTTTGATCACAAATAATTTTTGTATGGATTAAAAAAACAGGTATAGTTTCTTAACTGGGTTACCCTAATATCGATTAAAAATCGATATTTCGATTATTAAACCTCCATCCGATTTGTTTTCTTAACTAATCAAACTCTACCAAATTTGCTGTAATAGTTCCAAATTCGGTATGATGAAATTGATTGTTAAACGATATTTTAAATCGATTTTAGGGTAGCCCAGTTAATAAATTGCACACAAAAACATATTCCTAGAGTGATACTTTATCAAATTGTATAGTAGAAGAAGGGAAGTTAAGTAAAACAGTTGTAAATTTTAACTCCCATATTTTTAATAGTTTTAATTTATAAGTGTAATTAATTATTGTTTGTGTATTGACTTGTCGACCTTCTGTTCCACGTAATATATTTAACTCCTCTTAAAATGGTCATGCTCTACATAGTAAAACATTTTTTGATTCACGTGGTCAATTAGTTATCAGTTGAAGTATTAATTATTTCAGAACTTATATTCCAAAATCATGCATAACTGATTAAAATATCAAGGAGTAAACCTAACTGAAAATCCACGGATGAAGAGAAACAGTATGGATCATTAACATAAACAATCGATGTCACTGACCCGACAGTAAACAGGTTTTTAGCGAATTTCCCATATATGGAATAAGCTAATACTGTAGGTCTCATAGTAAAGACCCTGACCCGGGACCTTTTCGTTTTGAGGTCGCCAGAGGCCAAAAACACCATCGTTCCATATATTTTATGTGTGTGTGTCAAAGAGCACAGAATAGAAATTAGAATTTAGAAAATAGAAATAGAAATTTAGAAAATTGAAAATTGAAAATATAGAAAATAGAATTTCTATTCTGTGCTCTCTGGTGTGTGTGTTAGCACGATAACTCGGGCAAATACGTTTGATGAAATTTGGTTGGCACGAGTAAACCAACATTTATTCGAACAAGTTCAAGAACCAGCATGATTAGACCAAGGGAATGGGGGTTTATGAGGGATTTTATGGGGTAAGAATTGGGTATTCCCATTTTTGACCCTAAAAACATAGATTTTGCAATTTCTTTCTAAACCATTTTGTAGAGTTTAAAAAAAGAAATAATTTAGCATCCAAACGTTGTTGTATGTCTAACGGATACGGAGAAAATTCTATAAAAGTACAAATTTAAAATTCCCATGTTTTTCTTATGGAGTATAAATAAACTGTCGTAGTTTGCTTGCTTATGGACGTATTTTGATGAATCGACTTTTCAATTAAAACACACCTCACTACCACCCATGCAGCAGCAAACCTAAGTAGGCTACTCATAAAAATTTATATTATATAAATAGCAAAAAAATCTGACAATTTTAAGGGCGTTTTTTAGTGGAAATCGAGCCAGGTAAATTGAAATTCGCGTAGTACGCAGGTTCTCTGTGGTGGGGGTATTATTTATATTCGAATGAAACTGTCAATAATAACGTTCAAACCAGCTGTTACGGCTATATCCGATGCAGTGACGTCATTTATTTACGTTTACAATCCATACCGTTCCTGTTCTAATATTCGTGTAAAAATATTAAAAACTTCTTAGAAGATCGTCATATCTAAAGGACCATCTTGACGCCGACCCTTCTATTGGATTATGCAACTGTTGCTCAGCGGCCCAATATAGACAAGGGGGATATAATACGTATCCGGCCAAGTCAATGACCTTGGCTGGAGCTGCGTCCTTGGCGATATCAGTAACCGCCCTCCTTATCAGTCAGTATCACGCCGACTTTGGAAGCGTTACCTTCTGTGCGAGTTTTAATTGTGTTGTGATTGTGTGAATCGATGGGTCTAAATGAAGATGGTAGTGAGAGGTATGTGTTTATTGCGTGTTAGGTTTATGATTTTTATTTTATATTAGTTTCACTTAAAAATTGTTTTTACAATCTTTTTCTGCGAAAAAGTGTTGCGTTTGTGGAGTAGTAGTGGTGTGAAATTTGGATGGAAATAGT